CTAAAAAGATTTTTTTTTGGGGGGGGGGCATTTTTTTTATTATTATTATTTTTATTATTTTACCCGTTTAGTGTTTAGTTTATAAATTTAAAAAAAACTATTTTTATTCAAGTTTTGGCACTTATAAATGCTTTCCATACTTTTTCTTGTTTAATTTATAAAGCACATTAAATATAATCTAAATTTAAATAAGTGCATTTTTCGAAATTCGGAAAGGACTGGAGGAGGGGAGAGAATGATCATCTAGCAATAAGAAAAGTGGTGCATGGGGCAAAACAGTTTGAGAAACAATGAGCTAATCTATTTACATTTCATTGAGAATAATAAGGCTCTTTTATTCAGAAAATGAGAAGGATTTTTAAATGCACATTCAGAGCAATTCGAATTGTTCAAAGATGATAATTTTCATCGGCAAATAGGCATATGAAATTTAACATGAATTCTAGTCTGCTTCAATAATATACTATTGTGGAAGAGACATCAAAGACAATCTCATGTCTAGAAAGCATATTTTCTTCTCTATAAGCTAAAGATGCCTAGTTACACGTGACCAAACATAATGTTTCCCATGGATGATACTGAATTATGCATTGTCTTTTAATTATATATTACTTCCGGTCCTAAGAAATCCCCACAATTCTCTTTCTAGGTCATTACCTAACATGTATTGGAAAAGTAGTATAACTGTTAAAAATTGCTGATGCAATGGCCGATACATTTGCTCCCTTAAAAAGTAAACACTTTTTATTGCCTGGAACATACATTTTTACGAAATTTATATCCTTCAAAAATCCTTACCTATGTCCAACGTATTTTAAAATTAACACGAAAAATGTTAAAGGCTATTTCAAAGTTTTTAATAGAAAAGTTTTAGCAAATGATTGAAAAATGTGCATATGAAATTAAAAACGTTTATTTGAAATTAACAATAAGAAAAATTTTCTGCATTGTTTGCATCTTTTTTATTCATATTCCAGCGCTATCTTTCATAATAATATTATAATACACAAAAGTATTCGAAAATAAAACAATTAAAGGAAATTCGCGCGTTTGAAATTGCCTGATTTTACCTCATTTTTACGTTAACCTTTCAAATGCAATTCTGAAAGCATAGGCTCATTACGCGAGTTTACGCAACTATATTTTTAAAATATGTATAGGGTTTGATTTGCTTTAGTAGCATAACCTAGTATAAAACCCTAACAGACTTAGAGCGAATTATCGTTTCGCCTGAAAAGACTGCAGAACTCGAGTATAAAACGCACTTCTCGTGTTTGACAGAATCAGTTGCCACTTGTGGCATTGTAACTTGAAGCAAGTCAAATTCAAATTAAAGCTAAGTCTAGTATCAAAGACTACATAATTTATTTAACGCAAAGCTGGCGCAAAAACTTCTCACCGGCCTTATAATTTAAATGCCGGCAGCAGTAACGCAAAGCCGAAGAATTGCAATGTTATTAGAGCTAGCGAAAGTTAGTAACATGGCCTCGTGAGGCAGAAACACGCTTTGTCTCACAGTTCAAACACCTTGAATACTCTCGCACTAAATTTACATTCTAGTAGGGAAAAGGAAAGAAGTGATAGGAAAGATCTACGTGTGGTTTAGTTTGTTATGGCCAAACACACTAGGGTTATCTGTCTAAGGGAAGATGTGCCTTCGTGGAAGATTTTCTAAGCAAAACTGGCTCGTATGCATGTTACACATGGAGAAAACCACGTAAACACTCATTCAGCCATTCCGCTCAACTGAAATCGAACCCAGGTCCGAACTACCAGTGTTCAGCGATGTTACGCACGGCCGCTGGTGGGCGAGCAAAGATCAAAATCATTAAGTAACAGGTTACAACACAACACACTGAAAATAATTTTTAAAGAAAATGTTTCATATATTAGGTTTGTTACATTACAAAACAAGAAATTACTATGTTGCGAAACATTTTTCAAACTATCTTAACAAAAAGTTCATAATAAATTTCACAATATAACCTTTTCTATATATAATATAATCTTTTTCACGATGTAACTCTTTTTTAGCATTTTTCCTCCCACTTTGAGTATCGCACGCTAAAATATTTTTCAATGGCGTGGGTTAACTATATCAGCCCATATTTCCTTTAAAGCAGAGTTTCTTAAACTGTGGGTCGCGACCCTTATGGGGGGTCGCGTGACTTGCAGCAGGGGGTCGCCAAAAATTTTAGCAGTTTTGATATTTCTTTAGCTTTATAATAATATATATTTACAACTACCAAATATTTGTGTTTACACAATGTATTTGAAAATAGATAAAGATAAAACAATACAGACAAAGAAAAAACGAAAATGTCTCGACGCATTCTTTTTATAATATAAACGTTCATTTTACTTGTTTTGCACCTGATTCTATCATTTCGTCTGTTACGTATTTAAAATTTTCACATTGTTTTATGTCTTAAAATTAGAAATTAAATACTAACCTAAAACTTCAATAGTGTATTACAGTACAAGTGAAAAAATTGACAGTTTCACTCATGCGTGTGTAGGATTTGTGCAATGTTTATGGCTTCCCACAAAATTTTCGTAAATATTATGGGGTCCTGAGGTCGTGAAAAAAATCTCAGTCATAAAAAGGGGTCGCGAATGAAAAAGGTTTAAGAAGCTCTGCTTTAAAGGATTCAGCCTCTTTAGAAACTTTTGTCTCTTCTTCAAAGCTTAGTCATTTCTCTTAGTAACTATTTAGATTTTCGTTATTAATCAAGAAAATCCATATCTGCAGTGAGATGATATTTGAAAAATAGCACTAAAATTATAAAACTGACCTTTGTTTAGAGGTAAGAGGAGAAACAACCAGTCACGTAACTGAAAGGAAAATTTTTGTCCAAGTGGTTTCGTAAAACGGTACGAATTGCTTTATTAGTCACAAACGAAAGATATTGTAGTCTTCATTACTTAATAAAAGCGCAGATCATCAGTCCCCCCTTTTTTTAAACGCTGAAATACTTTTCTATTACAGTATTTTCAGTTAAATCTCGGAAATATGGAATTATATAACATGCTGATTAAAAAAAATGATTAAAAGTCACATGAAGCGGAAAACTGTAATAAACGCCAATGTAAGTTTCCTCTTTTTTAAGGACGTACTGTACTGAACATAGTAACTTCTAATGAAATCACATAAAATAACGTTTAATTCCAACCGAATCCAAGGACGAATTCTGAATGAAGTGGGTTTGTATTGTTGAATTCTTTCAAACGAATTGTGTCCATTCATAATAAAGAACTCCTTTTGCTAAGAAAGCCTGCGAAAAGAAGGGAGCACAAATTCCGCTTACTGAAAAAAACAGAAGTTGTTTTTTAAGTGCATTTTGATTTCTGGTTACCTATATCTTTTCTGTGATAATTCTTCCCATTCTTTACAGCTTCCATTCATCTGTAGTAGTCAACCTACTTATGAACATGATCTGCTAATAAGCTCTAAAAAATAATAATAAAAAAGATTAGAGTTTTGTTTGTTCTCAGAAACAAGCCACTACTTTCAAAAGGAGGCTTTATTGCATTTTTATTGCTTAATTGGCTTCTCAAAAGGCAATGACTTACTATGTTTGTTTTAATAATTACACTCCTCGCCTACGAGAAGCTACACAACAAGTTCTTGTGGCGCCATCTGTTAGTACACATTAAACTCATTACTTGATATCATACTAAAATTTATTTTACAGTCTAATTTGAAAACGAAACTTCTCAAAAAGTTGCGACTTACTTTTACATTGAGATACAGATTAATTAGAATTAATATACTTTAATTAGCAGGATACTCATTGCAGCTTTGTCTGCATCAAGAATTTCTTATTTACAGTGTATTATATCACTGCTAAGACGGAGGTTCTCAACCAGGGGGGTGGATTTATTGTTTCAGGGAAAGAATGCGGTCAGCCTTTTATTATAATTATTTTGATAAGGAAAGCGAAGTTTAGTAATAAAAAACTTAATTTTTCCCAATTGTATGTCTTTCTGATATGTCTACTCCGTCATCCTCCACTTTTTCGACATGTTTGGACCAGAGCACTATTGAAAATCTTCAATGTTGCAAACACATTTTGTTTTAATTCTTTTTTCCTTAAAAATTCATTCTTGTCGCAGAAAAACATAAATGACGCAGTATATCTCCTATTATTTGGAAATGATAATGAAAGTTTCGTAACATATTTTGTATTTGCAAAAATATAGTAGACAAAACAATCAGAGAAAATTGATAGTTGTTGCAAAGATTAAAAATTAAGATTTTTTATTTGGTAAATTATTTGCAATCCCGAAAGAAGTATTCTGGCATTAATTCACAAGTTTCTTTGGGAAGTTTTTTATCTTATATATTTTCTTCCGATTATACATTTTCATACGAATTACATCTTATTCTTTCAAAAAAAAAGTTTACATTCTCCAATACATTCAGCCAAAAATAATAGACTACAAGTATTCGAATGAAGTCGAAGTTCTTGGTGAAAAACATGAAATTTTTAATTACCCAGGGGAACAATAAAATCCTATTTATCAAAACTTACATATGATATTTATTATATATCATACTTAAGGTGAAATTTATTGTTTTTAAGTAGTGCACTTCATCAGCAGGCTTACTTAGTTTTAAATGAGAAGATCTGTGGGATGTTTTCAGTTAAAATATAATTTTAAAAAAATAAAAATCATAATTTAAAAAAGCTTAAAATGCTTTTCTTTATCTTGGTTTCAATGTTAATTAAAATTAAAAAAAATCAATAAAAATATTTTATAAGAATATTTTGACAAAATAAAGCGAAATATTTGAATATTGCTAGATTTATATTATAGTATGCAGTGGTCCTCACAAGTTCTTCTTCCATAGGAATATGCATATTAACAACGGTAATTTTTGAACGATATTTAATGATGCATCCTTCAAAATTTGCGATATTTTGATACAATAACGGTACTTATATTTTCAGTAACTGATTTTTTTTTTTTTTTTTTTTTTTTTTTTTCTTTTTTAGATGTGGAAGATATAACTGCCGAGAATTTCATGGACAAGCTGGATAATGGAGTAATCATCTGTAAACTAGCTCGACTTATCCAACAGAAAGCTGAAGAATGCAAAAGGAGAGGTCTTATTACAGAAGTAAGTTAGAATTTGTTGGATCTCACAAGCATAAACCAAGCAGGGCAAATAAAATTAGTAAATATTGCTCTGAATTATTAGTAATTCTATTTTTGATTAGCTTTTATCTTCTTACTGACAACAAGGTTGAAAAAATATGCTTTTGCTATAAAAGGCCTTGATACAATCATGTTCCTCTAAGTTGCTTGTTTATATAAATTATGTAGATGTTGCAGTTTATTTTATAATAATATTTTACTTAGGTTGGATTACTACAGTATTTATGATAATTACATCTATGCTTCTGGTCCAGCATGAAATTAATTGGTCAGAGATTAGATTTGACAACTGCTGTCGTCTAAACCAAAGTCCGGCATATGTTTAAAAAAATGACATCAAGGACGTGTGGTAATATTTTGTTAAAGCAGGTGGGATTTAATTTTTTTTTAGTGCAAATTGAACCAAAAGCTATGTTAATTGAAAAGACCTCGAGTCTCTCGACCTCACATCTTTGATGCACAATGTTTCAAAAATATTGCACGGCTGAAAAATAAAAGAAAGAAAGAGAACTTGAGATGAGTCTGAAGAGAAATTTCTCTTCAGACTCATCTCAGACTAATTCCTCCTGAGAAATTAATCCTACGTTCATTGCTTCTGTATAAGAAATAACTCAAATAATGCAGGCGTTAAGACCATGACAATTCTGATAATTCTTTTATTTAAGTAAAAATATATACAGTTCAAATCTTTATATGGGATCTGCAGAAAATAAAATATCAATACAAAAGCTGTTCTTTTTACTGTCAAATAAGAAAAACAAACGACAGAAATTTTAAAATGAGCCTAAATTACCTCATATATCAAGAATAATTTAAACATATCTTTTCAAATTGAGTTTTGCATGTCTTAGGTGTTTTGAAACTGAACGAGTCCAAATCGATAAGAATGTAATAATAATTGCAGAAGAGCAAACCTTTTTAAGGGGGAAAACTTCTTCCCTAGTCAATAATAACTTTTAATTAGCTTAGTACCAAATTGATATACTGCGTGTATGTATAACAATTATTATTCTTGTATTTTAGCATAAAAAATTAAAGTAAAATTTGAATTCTGCGTATTGATTCGTTAGAACCGTAGTTAAGAATAAATACTTTATTAAATAATATATAATTCAGAAACTTGAAAGTTTTGTTACGGTATTGCCAAACAATTCTGTAGCGACTATTTAACAATAAATGAAATGAAGTGCCTCATTTATTTCATTCAAAACTTAACTTGAACGCGCAGAAACCAAAAATGTTTATCGGTTTCACATTTAGTTACATGCTAGAAAATTTGGAGCGCAATATTTTAGAACGAAAGTTTTCTCTCTTCCTCGAAGAATAGAATGCAAAATTTTTACAGTTTTTTAAATCTGTCCTTTGTTGTCATATATTTGCTAGATATTTGCATTATAATTGATTTGGTTCTCATTAAATTAAACAATTTCTCCTGACAATGTCTGATTATTAAAGCTCTAGTCATATATGTCCGCGATTTTCTAAAGATCCACTAGCATTTAAAAGAGCATACAAAATTCTTCAAAATTTTCATTTATGCGAGTTCTGACTCTTAGTCTAAATTATCCGGAGATTTTTATCGTACCATTGCACATTTTAACTATCAAATATAAAGCATGGATTGAAAGATATGGGGTAATCACGCTGTCTTCTATAATCTGCCCAGGAACTGAAATATTTATCCCAGTGATAAATTTGTTACAGACATTGAAACTACTACAGAAATGGAATGCAGACTTCCAAGACTGAAGTCAACTATTAAGTCCGAGTACTCGAACTACCAAAATTCCCACCTGGAGCAGTATGCAAATTTACTGAAAACATTTAAGCAAGTAATTTAAAAATGTAGTTCTCCTAATCCAAAATTCTAAATTGTTTTCTCAACACCAGGGACGTGTGAATATAAACATTTATAGGAATTTTAACTCTCATATATTTTATTTAACAAAATTCAGTTTTCTATATTCCTCCGTAAATTGACGCCTCTGCCATTTCTTTCGAATGAGGGAAATGTAGGTATGATAATGTTTTCAGCGCCGATTTCGCATATTACTGAGTCTTAAAAATGACCTTTGGTAGGTAAGCAATAACTTGCCAATTAGAAGTTTTTTTGTAAGAAACGCATAAAAATATTCAAATTTTATATATTTTATTAAAAAATGTCTTTCAGTGTCAAAGTGAATTTTATTTGATTCATTTCTTATACTAGAATGATAGGTTTAACATAAGATTAGATGCGCACCTTTTTAAATACCTATAGCCATAGGTAGCCATTAATTTATCAAATTCTAATTTTGCAGAGCTCTAATACAAAAGATAATGTCCGCTTAGACATTGTTCTCGTGTTTTTCAGAGCATTCCATCAGTTCGCTTCAAGTGCTGGGAGAACGCAAAGTCTGAGTCTTTCTACGCAAGGGACAATACAGAAAATTTTATACGATGGTGTCGTAAATTTGGAGTGCATGAAGCTGTTTTGTTTGAATCGGATGGCTTGGGTAAGTAGAATAAAATATGATGAAGCAAAAAATTTTGTATCGATAAATTTGAATATTTAATTAAAGACTGCACACTTTTTACCATAAATAGGATGAACATAGAAATATATCAGTCATAAATTTTTGCGTGTAAGTTTCAGTTTAGCAGTTTTTACTAAATGATAAGTTTTCCCATGCCTTACCGGAGACTCACAAGAGCTGCTGCTACCTCAAAGCAAAATTCTGCTTACAGTAATGGATACATAATTCTTACTGTTAGGAAAAAAAAGTTTCCCTCGTAAGGATTCAAAAATCGATGCGGAGATTGACTATTCTTAAGGAATGCAACTCTTCTCAACAAAGTTTTAATTTGCAATAAATTACGTTCAAAAAATTTGACTTCTCCGATTAGAAATTAACTTGCCAAGTTAGAAACCTGATATCAAAGAAAGTAATAAATTGTTTTTTTTCAATAAATTGAAGAGCGTTGTAGATTCCAACAGCTATGATTAAAGGAACTGCTATGAACTTGCCATCCGTTAGATCTCAACTCTTTTGTCGGTGACATCAACTACACCGAAAGTCGTTTCTCCAGAACTTGGCGCTTTTTTCATATTTATATTGTTGTTATGTTACCATTAATTTTTGAAAAACTAAATTAAAGGTTATGTTCTTACTTGGACGCTTAAATGAAAAAGAGTCGACAAATATGTGATCTTCAGTTATTTTATGCTGCACTCGTTTCTTTTTATTATTTTCTCTTGTTATTTGCATCAGGCATCTGTTTCGTTATTTAAATTTGAGATAGTAAACGGCAACGCTTTTATCGTTTGAAAGTTGTTCACATTCTTTTCGGGATATTGTTGTTGTTAGTTTATCGCTTTAGTTAGGCCCGAACCCAGTATCAAAATGAAAAAAGAGCCGGTCCTGCACTCATTGATAAGCATCTGAGTGCCGCGGAAACTGGCGATCGGTGCAACGGTCTATTGGTGACGTTGTCAAATGCCCGTTATGATTATTATTTGGTTTAACCTCGATAATAATATAATTTTTTTATGTTTTAGATTTTTTCCTTTGTATATGCCTAATGATTTACCTTGATGCCAAGTTTCAAATATCTAAGTCATTTAGAAGTGGTTTAGGTTTTTGATGAATGAGTCAGTTATAAAAATGACACTTTTCAGACCTTAATAATTCCATAACTATAAGATTAAATTAACGAAATTTGGGATTTTATGTGTTCAATGGAGATCTATTAGACATAAAAATTTGCAGGTTTGTAGGTCTAATAGTTTTTGAGTAATGGAGGGGTCGAAAGTAGCTCGAAATAGTTCGTGTAAGATACACGTGGCCGGTGTCTCGCTGTTTTCTTTTCCGTCTGTTCTGAACTTGACTGATACACTCATGTGTGTCTAAATGAGACAAATGTATACATGGTAAAACCTGGAAGACCAATGAAAGTTTTTCTCAGTTATGATAAAAACAAACTTAGAAGTAATTGCTAGCAGAAATTTTGATGGCGTAAAATTGTTGATCCATAATGAATAGGAAAATGGAGGCGAAGGCAGATTAATATTCATTTTTTTATTTCAGCAAATATGTTGCGGCCACAATTAAGTTGGCACATTATTTGTGCCTATTCAAAGAGTTTACATTTTTGATACCTTTGCAGCAAGAAGGAAGCAGCAGACAGACAGCAGCACAGCTATACCTAAGCGCTGAAAGCAAGTGTGTTATGTTCAGGGTGAAATCTTATTTCAGACTGAGTTATTTTTTTATTCTCAATGCATTTTAATTGGATAGTTAATATTGCTATTAATTACTATTGGCTGCTTGAGTTTTAGTTCCCTTTACATCATCAGAATTAACGTAAGAATCATATGGCATGGTTTAATTTCGAAATGACGCAGTGCAGAGAGATTACTATTTCTAGAATACAGAAGGGAATTTAATTTACATTGCTAATTTGATCTTTTACATATTCTTTATTTTTCTTACATATATGTGTTAGAAACAAATGATATACATATATATATTTCATTATGCATAACATCACAGCATTATGTATAGAAACTACAGTGGTGGTAATAGCTTGTTAATTTAATCGCTTTGACAGCGCATAATACACTAGTGTAAATTTAAGCAACAAATTCATTTTTAACATATAGCCATGGAATTGTAGAAAAGGACTTTTTGCGACTAGTATAATGAAAGGCTAACTCAACAGAAAGGTCATGCATATGCAAATATCAGCACCATGACGTCAAAAGGTTCGCCAGGGCACACAAACTGTGAGGAGTCAACGCGCAATGCAAGGCAACAGGGCCGTTCCTAGGCCAATGGCTGCCCTCGTACTTTCCTAAGATTGCCGCCCTCAAATTTAAAAAAAATGCGCAATGATTAATAAAATTTTTATTTAAAACTCACTAAGTACTTAGATATGACAAATTGTGCAAAATGTACTTACAAATGACAAGTACTTACAATGAATTTAAAATATCTAGGCGTCATATCACTCCCCCCCCCCCCGAGAGTCCAGCCGCGCCTGATTTTGGCCGTCTACGTACTTTTACACGCTGCACTTCCACTAAGAACGGCCCTGCAAGGCAACTTAAAAAGAAGAAAGGGAGGACCATTTTCAGACATTCTTCTGCAAGTGAAAGTGAGATTGTACTTGCAGTATGGTACAAGAAAATATCAAGACGCCATTACCATGTGGTAGAATGTCTGGATAGCTTGAAGAGGGGCGTAGTTTGACTTAAGTTACCCAAGAGTTTGGAATAATAAATGTACCCTTTCACGAGCTTGAAAAGACTTCCAACAGCTGTAAGGAAAGTTGATGGTGGTCAGCCGAAAAAAACAACGGTGGCTGATGACGGATATATCACTCTCAGTTGGATCACACTCAACCGGACGACAGATGTCGCGGTTACTGTAGCCAGGCGGCTTCATAAAGGTGACCTGTTCGACCGCCATCCTGAATGCTGCATTCCATTTATAACAGGCAATCAGCGGCATCGTTTACAGTGGTGTGTGGAACACAAAACTGGATGCCTCATCCATAAATGGAGTCGCGTCCTCTTTACCGATGAAAGTCTTTTCAGTTTCACAAACGATTCTCAGCACCATTTGATATGGAGAGAGGTAGGTACATGTTTTCATCCCACTAACGTCAGGGAAAGAAATCATTGGGATTGTCCTCGCGTGCTTGTATGAGGAGGCGTTATGATGAACGGGCGAATAGAGCTGCACATTTTCGGCAGAGATTCACTTACCGGAGAATATTACTCTAGTGAAGTTTTCTCCTTCCACACTCATCATTTCTGGCCAATGTCATCGTAAGTTCCGACATTGTTTTTATGGATGACAATGCACCGCTACATAGAACTCGTGCTGTTGAGGAGCTCCTGACTCATGCTGTTGAGAAAAGAGAAGATATCCACAGAATGGATTGGCCAGCGTGCTCCTCTGATTTAAATCGCTTTGAATACATGTGGAATACTTGAGGGAAATGCCTGGTAAACGCGATCGTACCCTCCGGAGAACATTGGACAACTGAAACAGATGCTCCTTCATGACTTGGAACTCTTAGTCCAAAAACTGTTAGATAATATGATGCTGAGCATTGATAGATGGTGCAAAGCAACCATTGCAGTTGGGTAGGTCATATGCCTTACTAAGCATCTTTGGTTTGCATTCTACCTCTTGGACTGAAAAATTAACAATTTTTGGTATCAAAGAGCCATTCTATCAATAAAGCCTATTTCATTTTTGCTCCATGCTATATGCGTCTTTTATTATTATTATTTTATTTATTTATTTATTTATTTTTTGCTACTGTACTTTCCTCAAACTAATTCAGCCTCTGTAGTATGAATCTCACAACTCCCAGTTGAATTTTTACGGGATTACGGAATAAATCAGAAAATTTGCTTAAGTTTCGCACGCTAGTGTATTTAATACTTCTTGTTCCTCGAAAAAGAGGAATTATTATTTTTTATTTTATTTTTATTTTCTTCTTCGTAGTTATTATAATTTTCCAACTATTTTCTCTTTTCTGCTGCAGTTTCCTTTTCTGTTCCATTCCAATTTCTCCAATCTTGAACCTGGCAGTTTCGCGACATTTCAAATGCAAAAATTTCAAAGAATATTTTCAAAGAAAAAATTTAGTAAATTACTCTTGTTTGCGGAATTTTAGCCAGTTATATTGTTTTTATAGCCGTTGAAAAATCTGGTGTGCTAGACAGAAAAACAAATACAACTTACCTTTGAAAACCGCTATTTTACGTCTGTTTAACTAAGGATACTTTTAATATAAGCATAAAGACTCATATGAATTCTGTTCACGACACCGGGTAAATAAAATCGGATGTAATGCGTAAGGAAGTGTTCAAAAGTTTTAATTTTTTTTTCTAAGCACCTTCAAGAAATCGATAACAGAAAGCAGTCAGCATTTACGTATACCGTGATTACTCGCACCTCCATTTTAAAGCAGAAAAATAAAATTGGCAAAAGTTTACAATATTGTGTAGTAGATTTTCCCGCATAAGAGTTGCACCTAGACTTTCACAATGAAAAATTGGCAAAAAAAGTGCGACTATTACGCGAGTAAATACGATAATAAGAAAAATAGTGACGGTAGCAATCAAATGCTATTTCCAACTATCTCTATTTTCTCAGATTACCTTTCTGGGAAGTATATAACTAAGAGAAAGAAAGAAACATGGCAAATTAAAACATAAAATCAGGCCTAGCAACAACCTTCTTTTGTTTGCGTATATTTTCTCTTGGTGATGAAGGAAAGGATCTGCAGCTGTTGCCCTCGAAGTCAATAGAAGCTTACATCAAATAGAAGTCTGTTGCTATGCCTGATTTTAATTATTTAACTAGTTTACATTTGAAGTGTTTTACAGAGTGCCAATCACCACCGCGTTATCCTTGCTCAGAGAGTATGTTTCTGTCGTTTCATTTCATCTTCGCTGTAAATATAATATCTAGTTTATAAAGTGGATAGCACAGCTGATAATACTCATTTTTACTTTAACCATAAGATATTACAGATAAACTATTACATTTTTTATAGTATAACTTATTTCACTTTTTTTCCCCTTACCTTTAGTTCTGCACACTCAACCACGAACAGTGGTATTGTGTCTTCTGGAGCTGGGCCGAATTGCATCCAAGTATGACATCGAACCCCCAGGCCTTGTACAGCTAGAAAAAGAGATTGATGAACAGGAAGAAGATCGATCTTCAGATGGCCTCAGCTCATTATCGACCGGTTCATCTCCTACTCTAGTGCGAAGCCGTACAGAATCGGTTCTTTCACTGACTTCGTCCAACCGGTCTGGCAGCCTGCTTAGTCCAACTAGTCCAGACAGTGGAATTGCGTATTACCACAACAATCGACCTAGAAATCGATTGTCTTACACCCCACCTTCTACAACAGCTCCTCCAAAGAAGCAGCATAAACCATCTGAACTTGACAAAAAGGTACTTATAATTATACAGTTAACAGTTTTTTTTAAATAGAAACTAGAGGAAAAATGAAAATATACGTAACACAAATTCCTCTCAAATCCTTTTCTACTCTATTCTATTCAAGATCAACATTAATGCTTATTTTAGAATTTTGTGAAGATGCCACGTATTTATTTTAATAACAACAGCATGCAGTCCATTTCATTAATGAGTCACATATTTCAGAAAAATCTGCCCAATTGTCAGTTTATGTAAAATTTTAATGTATTCTAACTTTCACACTGTTTATTGGAAAATTTTAGCTGTCTTTCTCTGTACATTTCAACAGTAATTAAATATTTTAATGCGAGAATTGAGACTTTATAATTATTTTATAGAGTCTAATTGAAGTTCTTATGAATATGAATAGAAACGTTTTACATGAATTTGTATTATGTGAAAGGTGAGAGTGCGTCTGGACAACCGGGCGGCTCACGAGGACTATTGGGTATCATCCGAAATCCGCAAATGTACAACGCAAGAACTCTCTGGCGCCCCAGGAGTTCGGCGTCGGGAGTTTAAGAAGAACTTTTGACTGTACACGCCACACAGGGGCAAGGTATAAGACATTATTTTTGTAAGATTTCAACCTTTGAGTTACAACTAAAACTTAGTAACCTTAAGAACAGCTTAGTTCAGTAGACAGAGAGCAGAACTGAAGAAGGATTAAATACCCTTTATTATTCGAAATAAATTGAACAGTCGACTCTTTCTTGGAGTTTATTACAAAGCCTTTACTTGGGCTTGAACTCAGGAATACTAAGAAATAAAACTTAACTGAAAAGATATAGCCGAAGCTATCAAGATTCTACTAGAGTTGGCCCCTTAACGCTAACTAATGGCGAAGCTATCAAGGACCTAAAGTACGGCCGATCGTAAAAATAGCTTAAAGAGAGAGTAACCTAAAAGGCGAAAAAGCGCTGCTCAGAATCTCTGGCTCTCTAACGAAGTCAGTAGAACTTTAAATACTTGTTCTTCCTTCATTTGCATTTAACCGCGCTTCTAAAAACATATTCTGGCCGGAAATTCTAAGCTGAAAATAAGAAGTGACAGGAAAGTGGCTTAAACTAAACATTAACTGTTAGAAACTTAGGATAACCCTCCAGTTTCGTACAAAATACAAGATGCTACACTGATATTTTACACTGATAATACTGATATTTTACATTGATAATACTGATACTATACACTGAAATATTTACACTGATATTTAGATATTTGATATTGATTTTACTCTGAGATATATAAATTTTTTACTGTTGCGCATTTATAAACATAATTGTCCTAGGGTGTTTTATGCGCGCATAGGTTCAGACATTAAGAATACACTAATACAAAACATCTGATTTACACTGATACATACGTCGTTGCATATACATAATCATATTACACAGATATTTACAATGATTTAAACATTTAATACTGAACTTAATAATACATATAAAAATTCTGCACTGGTGCGCATATTTAAACATAAATTACCCTAGTGCATTTTATCACACTTAGGTTTAAACACTGAGGATAGACTTCCATGTAAAAGTCTGTTTCACACTGTTGTGTATACATAAACATTTACGCTGATAGTTTACCTCAATATTTAAATATTAAACACTGATTTTACGCTGAGATGTATTATTAGGCAGAAAACTTTCCCTATAATAATTTAATTTTTTGAGCAATAATTTTCTTTTTGAAAATGAAGTGCTATTTTTTTAAGGTAAAGCAGAATATAATAAAAGCGCTTCTTGTGTATTAAACTCTCTTGAAGTGCATGAGATTTTTCTCTTGTAATTTTCAACTCGCCACATTTCTTTTTTTGGTTAATACAGTGTTACACTCAATTCGCTAACAAAACAAGATTACTCATACTAACAAATAAAATCAATATACTATAGAATTCAAATATCTGAACTTACTGGAACCAAAATCTTCTGGATATTCGAAAAATCGGGAAAACTAATGTTGTTTTCTTTGTTTTTCCCATGATGGCCAGCCATGTATTTATTTAATGGAGGGAAGGAAGTTTGTTTATTTATTAATTGATTTTGATTGATTTTCCGCATTTTATTTTAATTAGAACTATGTGGTTAAATAAATGCAATTATAGTTTAAATAATTAAAAAATGATGAATGCCATCCAAACTAATGATGACGATACGTTTGCATATCGTGAAGAATCCGTTTATTATCGCACATCAGTACAGGGTGGCCAGAAAGTTCCTTTACACGTGTAGTTATTTCATTGTAACTTAAACAAGACTTACAGTTATTTGTCCAAAACGTCGCTGTGCACCATCATTCACCCTACACAGCTTGAATACGCCTGATTGTCCTCCTGCTCATCCGCTTTAGCAACCGCGGTGACACATGCTTGAAGACTTCAAGCACACTTGCCTGCAGAGCGTCACTGTCCACGTACCGCTCCTGCCTGACGTAAAATTTGATGATCCCTCGCAGGGAGTTAGTTGTCTGGTGTCGTAAGGTTCGAATTTCGAGGCGGCCAAGGAAAAGGGGATGGTGAATCCAAAATACTTCTCAGGCGAAAAGCCTTTTTTTTCGCAGTTGATCAAAATCTGACGACTCGGTGTCTCCGTATGGCACAGTTCGCGAAACCTAACCATCACCTGTATCATATTTTCGTTGCTGTGCTTCCGTTCATTCCGACACACTTGTCAATAAGCACTCCTCCAAAGTGAAATCGCTAGTATCTATCATTTTGTTTCGCATAAAGGCGAGAGAATGATTTGGTCAAAAAGCGGAGTTTATTCTCCTTCCCGGGAAGTTACGCGGCAATCACGTTGAAATTCACGTGAGTAGCACTGTTTCTATATCAGTGATCAGGATGAGAGGTTTAAATCTTAAATATCTTACAATTTTACACGCACTTAATTCTGATATAAAGGGACATTCTGGCCACACTCTATCTAGAAAGGTATTCTCTTCCAAACGAAACAAGAAAACACAAGTTTTCGTATAGCTTTTCCGAAATGCTGTCTAGTCATAGAACAGTCGAGAGTTCACCACATAAACCATTTCTCAAGTCGATGAGAATACTTTCGAATGGTTTACGCAGTGACAGAGAATCTTCTCCCATTACTTCACAGATGCTACAGTGAGTTCCAAGTTCACATCATACTTTTGGGAGAACCCGTATTTCACCTGTTCTCACTGCTGTGCACATCTAACTAAGAATGGATAAAAATAGTTAATTGGTAGACATATGCAGTCTACAACTTTTCGTATACAGAATTGGAAGACTCTCTTCAAGCAGTAAAATCTATAGAAAATTGCTCTAAACCAGTGGTTCTCAACCTTTTGATTAACGCGTACCATCTAAACAAACATTGAAAACCTTTAGTATCACCACTACAAAGTACTAATACCACCATCACTATTAAACAAAGCTTTTTCAGGTCCCATAAATTTATGAGTGTTAAAGAAAAAATTCAATCATAATGCTGGGGTTTTAATTTTTGAATTTAATAGTTAAAAATACTTTGCTTCTTTGCGTACCACCTATTTTTCTCTTGCGTACCACCAGTGGTACACGTGAGAACCCCTGCTCTAAACAATTGATCGACTTTGCTTTATGGTGATAATCGCTTTATATGGATATATGCCCACCAGAAACCAGCAATCATCTTCTCCGTCAAACCTTGGAATTCACACTGATGGAGTGCGCATGACGTTAGACATTATTATAAAACTATAGAACTGCTTTGCTTATTTTTACAAACAATATCTATAATTTATAAAATAAAGCAATCAATCTTAACAATTGCATTTTCAATGACAGCTATAAAAATGCGTTATAAATAGTGGGACAAATGTAATTATGATTTAAAAAATATTGTAATTATAGCATAATCATAATAATAATGAAATAAAATACAAATAAAAAAAGGTTTTTATACAATAAGCTTTTATTAAAAATAGATATTATAATTAATGGACTAAAAGGAAAAAAAAATATCATGTAGTTTAATAGGAATAATAGCTTAAATAATTCTACTTGCAAAGTTCATGTAGAATTTCATATCGCGAATAATAAAAGCGCGGGGTGCCCATGATTATTTTTAAGAGATAATGGCTTGTACATTTGACAATGCAATTAAATTAATACACTTTGTTATTTAGTAGCGCTACAATTTTATTATTCGCGATATAAAAATTTTAGACAAATTCCGTAAACAGAATTAATCTATTAGTCCCATTAAACTATATAATAAGTTATTTTTTTCCTTTAGGCCATTAAATATCATATCCATTTTAAATAAAAGCTTATTGTATAATGGTTGCTACACGATGGATATGCTATGTTTGTCAAATTAAAAAGCTTTTTCATTTGCTCAACACAGGGTAGGGCGCTGCTTGGAAAACTGCGTCCGTTACTTCGTCACCTAATTGAAAAAACTTATTTCCTTTAATTATATTTTATTTTCGGTTTTTAGTCTCAAATTAGTAATAATGAAAGTTAGTCATTATTAAAACACAATTAATAAATTATAAGAAAATTACGAAACGAAGAAAAATAACTGAACGTCATTCAGAGAATGAAGAAATCGCTATGAATATTCAGTTTTGGGAATTGGATGTAATAACAGTGTTAGTTAACGAGCATTTTACTTGAAGCTAAAATGAGAAAATGAATATCGCTAATTTGTCAAGTGCGCCAAGATGGCAAACTCAAAAGCAGTGTTTCTACAAGAAATGCTTGTTTCTCCTTCTACTTCTGATTGCAACACATTTTTTAAAAATGTAGAAAATCTCTCAATTAATATTTTTTCATGATTCTTATTTTAAAAGAGGGCGGAAACTTTTATAATTTTTTGAAAATTTCAAAACTTTATATCCGAAGATTTTTAGATGTTGGAATTTTAAAATCATAAATGTCAAATAGTCTAAAAAATCACCAAAAATTCAAAAATTAAGTTACAGTTTTCACTGAAAAGATTTTTTTCAGTTCTATTCTATGGTACAAACAGTAAAATTCTACTATGTTTAGTTTGTTTGTTAAACGGAGATATGTGCGAAAACTCGTTTAAACATCAAATAACAAAAATCTAAATCGAATTTTGAAAAAATTCCTTTACCATTAATTTTTGTTTGATTATCATTGACCTCGATAGCTTATAAGGAAGTAATATGATTTTATTCTTATAAGCTCGACACTTAATAAAATCAGTGATAGAATTCAAACCACATTGAACTAAATAAAAGTTAATAAAAAAGATATAGATATGTATAAGAATGTGAACTTCGGCTTACTATACCACTTTTTGCATCATGCAAACACAAATAAATTTTACATTGAAGGCCTTTTCTAAAGTTAAGTGAAGATGAATGCTTTTTAGTAAAGCTGCTTGGAATGTTAAAAAAAATATGATGATCTTTTGAACTTTCATTTGAAAATACCTTACAGTAATTTTTCACCTGATTGTGACGTTTTTAGTACTGCATTAGTTTTAAATGCTTATTTTAGTGACTGTAATGTACATTTTTATAGTTATGAAAAATTTCTTTATTTCTCAGGTTATGAAGATTGCAAACAATGTCTGTAAAGATCAAACACAAATAACAAGGATTTCCGAAGGGAAATACTGTATTGGTGGGAAGAATGTGTTTGTGCGTGTATGTATTTTTGAATATTGCTGATAAATGTATCAATAATCTGTAAATCATCATTTCATTCATGAAAGTTTTAAATTCCAAAATATTATTGCATTCCTTTAACTTCTCTCATTTCCTGTTTTGTTCTCTTTCTACACTTTTCTTTGGTTATTTTCCAAGTACATAAATGCTTAACTTTTATGTATTAGAACACTGATCTTTTTTTTAAAGTAAATACCTGGAACCAGTTCTAAATACTAATTTTTATAATGAATGATAAATAGAGATATAAACATTGATAACTCAAAGAATGACTTATCTGAAAATGAGGTTATTTTATTATATAGTAATCGTCAGATGTTCTGTCTAGTTATCTGATAATGTCTCTCCTACCAATATAAAATAACATTCTATCAGGCATGGAAAGTACAGATACATAAAATACATTTCTAACAAATTGAAAACCATCTTGTACAATATTCTTTATTTAAAAGAAAAATTACTTTTTTAAAAAATATTGTTAAGAACCAAAGGCATTCCTTATATATGCTTTTTGTGATGTAGCAGTTAATATACCGGTGCAGTATACCAAAGTTCGTGCATTTAACTGTGAGCAGTAACACAATTTTCAACTGGCTCGTAAACTGTATTCTGTATGTCTGATGCTTAAAATAACAAGATGGAAGTTAATTTGTCATCGAATTAGAATTGGCCGACTGGGAGTCATTCGGCGTACACCAGTATCTTATGGAGGGTATATAAATAATTAAAGGCATTCTTCTTAGATTTCGTTGCAACGTAGACGTTAGCAAAGTGTCATTGCATACAGGATATTCCATATTCCTGTCTAAGAAAAGGCTCCAATAAATTGCAAATATTGCTGGCTCCTAAATTCCTTATGCCTTGCATAATATTTTATTACACATTATCTCTTTGAACTAAATATTTTTATCCCATATGCATAAATTCTTCAAGAGTATTTATTTACTTCACTTTTTAGCCCAAAGGGCGTTAGCCCAGAAGGGCTATTAATTTCAAAACTGTATTTTGCGTTGATTCACTTTTCAAGCTGTTGCCATCAAATACTATTGCGATGTATTATATTTAAAGAAACTAAATAATTGAGAATCTGCATGAATGTTTCTGATATTGTGAAGAAACAATGGTACCTAGAGTCATCAAATTTTGAATAACATAGTCTTCCAACCGAACATGGGCACTTGGAAGCCTGAATTTTGAATTTGTTTTATTATATATTTATTTTTTTTAACTTAAACGAATTTTTAATTAACAAACTCAACGATTTCAAAGCGAGCAATGGCAAGACTGTAAAGGGGGAACATTTTTACCTACAGCGCGCGAGACTGTGTATCGGAAATTCTAAAGATATACTGTTTTTAATTATTTTGTGATATTGCTGTTGAATTGAATTTTATGTGTTTTAATTGCGAAGAACATGATATTTAATCAATTAAGTTAACACACAAAACGTTAAAAAACGCCCTTTGGGGCATAATATGAAATCTGAAATTTCAGATTTGTTTCCTTAAATTCTTTATTTATTCCATTCAAATTGCAACAGTTGCTCCCAGTTTTTTTGAAATATGATGAATTTCCACATCTTCTCACTCAGATTTTTTATTATGTTAATATCTGGAGACTGTGGTGGAAACTCTGTTGTTACTCTTATTTGACAGTATAACTTTACTGTTTTCGCTGCACATTTTGGATTATTGACATTCTAGAAATCGAAATGTGACTAAAAATCTAATCTCTCGGAACTTTTCCTCTTAGTGTTTAAAGTTTGTCTCTGCATGTAAATATATTTACCCGTATTCATAACGCCATCAATGAGCACGAAATTTATAACGCTTTTCGCCAACAGAAAGCGCCAGATTAGTACAGTGCGTTACTGTTGCTACAGAATACATGTAATATATATATATATATATATAACAAAATTTTTATACCCGTCCTGCACTATAGCTGCAGGATAGAAGTACAATAAACTTAAAGCATTTAAAGTTAAAAGTAAATTGGAGTCAAAGCAAGGCAATTCCTCAACAATATTAATAACTGCAACCGTGTATAATAGCTTTAAAATTAAAATAAGAATTCATAGTAGTACAAAATCGAAAAATTAAAATGCAAAAGGGAAAAAAGTATGCAATAAAAATATAAAAATTAATATCTCCTTTTACTAAAACTCCAGTTCATAAATCATCAGGGAAACATGAATTAAAGTTTCATAAAAGTCGATTAATATGTTTCGAAAATGTGTTTCGTTCTCTTGGTTCATTTGAGATCAAAAATGGAAAAAAGAATCAACTAAATTTTCATTTAAGACATTAAAGTTCATATAAAACAGAAAAATTGAATCTCAAATGTACCAGACAGAATTTTACCTATACCCCTTTGAAACACTTGGAAAAAAAGAAGAAAAAAGAATAAAACGTAACATTGTGTCAAATTGACTGCTTAAAAAAATATATATATATAAATTTCTACATTATGTAAAATGACTTGAGAAAAAATCAAATTGGTCTAAAACTATTATATGCCAATCCGAAATTCAAAAGCAAATACAAATAAAGAGCGATATAAATATATTTTAAACCAAATTGTCATTTAAACAACATTAAAAAATTTGGTGGTCCGCGATTATGCTAAACTAAACTTTTAATAGCAAGAAAACAACAAACTTTTCAAAGAGATTTCTTTAGACAATAAAATCAAATCTCAGCCTTAATCAGCTAAAAACTGAAAACCTATTAGAAACAAAAAATTGGGGAAAAAAAATATGCAAGCTTATTGAAATCTTAGGACAACCTTTTAAATGAAAATTTACTGAATTTTTCAGACGATCAGACTGTGTACCTTGTAGAATTCAAAATTGCTCTGTATAGCTTTTAATTCTGGGAAACTTAAAAGTCATCTTAATGTGATTTAACAGATATGAGTTTCGTAATTCTATCACTCTTGTTTATGACGATTTCTCTCAAGTTATACAGTTATAACCAGATTTTGAAAGGAATCTGAAGAAAAGGCACGTCAAACTATCAGCCCGTACATGGCCTTTGATTCATTTTCTCCGGTCCTCCGTTTACTCGAGAAATTTTTTAAAAAAATATATAATTACAATATATTAATAAAAACTGGAATTCACTGAATATCGAAGCATATCTACAACTTTAAACGATAAAAGGAGTTCCTGAAACTGTCTCTTTACACGAATATTTTCTCAACCTATGATGAAAAAGAGCTAGCCCATTTTCAGACTATATTAACAGAAATTCAGTGCAATTATATTCTAAAGTAAAAATTAAGTAAAGTGGATAACAGAATTTCACAAATACTTGCCCACATGGTTCGCAGGAAGCCGCAAGTTTTGCATCGCTGGTGTCCATGTTCAGTAGCACGTGTACCAGGAAAAAATAGCTTTTCTCTCACATGTTAAAAGGAACAATTCCCTAACACGATCCAGGTTAACAGACATTCATCTGACCTCTGTGCTGAAAATTGCTAATGTAAGCATGTCTCCAGATATCAGAAAGCTGATTGCAGAAAAGCAGATGCCAGTGTTGGGAAAAAACAATAAGTGTCCATCTATTGCGGGATTTTTTTAAAGAACTAAGGTATTACGTAAGATTTTATGTATTTACTCACTACACCATGAAGTATGAAAAGAAAATTCCTTTTTGTTTTATTTGGCCAGTTAGCTCTCTTGTGACTGTGAACCGAGATATTGAGCTTGACATGTCCGCTTTAGGACATAGGACATGTCAAACTCAATATCTCAAATGACATATGACGATTATACCGAAAAACTGTGGCACTTTAGTTTTGAGATTGTTCTTCACAAGACAATTAATTTTATATTTAGTTATGTCACTCAAGAGTCTGTTTACATCATTTGCTTAGTATGCTGGTTACTAGCTCAGTTACAAACTTCCGATATTGGACTCAGCGTATCTCCATGTTTTAAAATATATCATATTAAAGCTCAATTTTGAAAAGAAACAAAAATGTAAGTATTTAAGAAAAATACATGTCTTTTTCCCCCTAAACATTTATCTCTTGTAAAGTGTTCTTTTCATTTCCAAACCTTCGTCAGAAAAAAGCCAACTTTAGTAAAAATGCCTTATTTTCGCTGCACTTACACAAATTACCTAAAATTAATAAATGAACTGTTACAAGTTCAACAGTAACTTGAAAACAGTTTTGACTGTTGATTTGAGTACAAAATTGTTTATAAAAAGCATCCTTATTTTTGGTCACAATATGGAAGAAAAATGAAACTGGTAAGTGGTTAAAACCGCATTCTCTGCACATAATAAATTTTATTAAAATTATAATATGTATTTAATATGTGGCCATGTATATATTTTTTAATATATCTATTCTTTCAGTTGCTCAAGGGCCGACATGTGATGGTTCGTGTAGGAGGTGGTTGGGATACCCTGGAACATTTCTTGTCCCGGCACGAACCATGCCAAGTGATTGTCGTCAACCGAAAAGCGTCGTCTCTTTCTGATGAGTATATCTCTCTTGCCTGTAATGGTTCCCCAGACTCATTCCTGCACATCAGGGCCAAGTATAAGAGTCCTTTACCTACACCAACTACACCTGAATTCAAACTCATTTAAAACGTCTAGTACATGGAAGAATCTGTCAGTACAAACTTGAGTTGCTGTTTACTTTATGTCTTTTAAACATTCCTGCTACATTTAGGTTTTAACTTAATAACCTTAAATTGCAGAGGTTTTTATGTTATTCACCGAAAAAGCCACATTTATTTAACATTAGTAACAGCTTCTGATTCAGGAATTTATTACCTTGTTTTATGTAATACTTTGCTTTATTTTTATAACTTGTAAAAATAATTTCCAGATTAGTCAAAAAAAAAAAAAAAAAAAGGGCAAAACATTTTACAGACCAAGGTAATAAATAAAATATAGTGACAGAATCAGACATGGCATTAAATCAACTTCAGAATCAGATTAAAATAGATTATTTTCAAAGGCTCATTTTAGCATTTTTCGTGAAATACCTTGTTTATGTCATTAATCCCCTTGAATGAAACATTCATTACTTCTGATAAACTGATTTTTAATTCTATTATCAACTCAGAAAAACTTCCTTTGATATTAAAATATATTTTAATAATGAGATGATTTCCCATGATCTTTTATTGTACAAATTATTTAATGATATAAGCAAGCTGGTTGCAGAAATATTTCAATTTTTTAAAATCATTTCAACATTTCTGAGCATCAGGAGTAGCGATTTTCAACCTTTTCAAACTCATCGCACATTGAATAAGGTGCTAAAATTGTAAAGGCACACACCATCAGACTTTAAGACAGTACTTTTGTCAATTAAAAGAATATATTGGAAGTAACTGTAAAATCTCAACCTTTGTATTACACTTCTAATCAATTTAAGAAATTTATTTAATAGAACCTATGATAGCTGCATTCTAATTATTTAAATGAGATAACTAATAAAAAGACTTTAGCAAAAATTATTATATTAATGTTCTATTCCTCCTTAATCAAATTAAAAAATCTTATTTGAATAAAATAAATGTTCTGATTTAAAAAATATGGCTATATTAACATATTATATCTAAAATATAAGGAAACAGTTCAGTGAGGAGCATACAGAAATTAAATTTTTTCTCAATTTAGAATAAATATAAAGAAAGAATTTTTTGAACTGAGGCTTTTATAAAAATAAATTTTAAAAAAAGGTCTTTTTAAAATTTACTTTTTCCACTGTTTATACGATTTCAATTTTGCATCTCTTCTTATTTTGAACCTACTAAACTTCTGTGGTAAACCAGGCAAACATTGTCAAGCCACCACACTATATGAAAATCATTGCTCTTTAATGTCAGAAATAATTTTTTTGATAATTATACATTTATTTTTTACATAAAATATTCGAATTTTCTTTTCCAGTGTGATGAACCATGTTCGGCTCAAAGCAAACCAGTTCATTAATGTACCCAACTGATTTTAAACTAATCTTTTTCTGTAAAAGTAGTGGGGAGGGGGGGGAATGTTTCAAAGGAACTTTATGTTTAAAGCTTAAAACTAGTTAAAAACTAATTTTAAATCAATGAACTACACTACTATGAACTTTAACTATATAAACACACAGAGTTGTAGACTGTTAAGTTTCAATCATAACTCACTTCATTCTGTTGCATTTCATTTATCCCTCTACTAGGACTGAATTCATATATGACTTAATCATACTACATTTTAAAGCTGGGAATTTCATTGTATAAAAGTAGTTACACTAACAGAAAATTGTCACTCTTTTATTATGTTCATAAAACTCTTATTTATGCAACCTCATTGAAAATTCTGTACTGCCAATTTTGGTTTCCATATCTGAAAATCCCGTATTTCCTCCCAGGCTTAGTCAGTAAAAAATGTTAACATAATATATTAAATAACACAATACTGCTATGCATTTGCATTATCGATTTCTAGTTGATCTGTGAATGAGTCTCAGTTACCATAAATATTTCATTTACTTAATCAAAATTAACTATTCTGGAGACATTGGGTGTAAGCAACAGAATATATAAAACACACTGTAACAGGACAAGCCAAACTGACTCTTTTCCCTTCAAAATAATCTGTTTCTACTACAACACTTTTCTGATACTAACTAAACTTCAATCATACTTTCATTGGCAAGATACTGTTCACACTCAAATCAACAATATTAGTGCTGAAATAAAAAAGCAATTGATTTCTAGTTATTTATATATCACCCAAATAATTATTTTGAGCCAGTTTCTGTTTATGATCACAATTAACTTAATTCCTATTTATATAAATAGTAATTTTTTCCTCTTATTTTATTTACTTATATTTTACTGGAAATATGTTAAAAATGAACAACATTAAATTGATCACTTTGTTTCATTATGCAAAGTTAACTAATAAAATAATTACTTCTAATCACAGTAACTGAACAAAAGCTTGAACAATCGAATAAACCATGCATAATTCTTTCTCAAATTTTTTATATTTAAATAATGATATTAAAATCTGAAATCCCAGATATTTATTAGTTTTTACTTAACATTTACATTGGTTATTAATTAAAAAATGAAAAGACTTATTTCTTCTACGAATGAGTTAGCTCTTTTCTTTATTTAGTGTATTAGCATTTTCCAATTTATTCCTTTTATTCATATATGCATAAAGGTAATTTAAAGTTATATGCAATTTGCAAATTTAATTGAACTAAAATAGTTTTTATAAAGTCGGTTAATTATTTATGGCAAAGCATGTAGTGAATAACTGCTTTACAAGGGTGTGTATTTAATTATGGCAAAGCACACTAGGGCTATCTGCCTAAGGGAGGAATGCCTTCGTGGAGGACTTTCTAAGGGAAACTGGCTCGTATATGCATTACACATGGGGAAAACCACGAGAAGGCCCATGCAGCCAGCCCGTTCGCGGAATTCAAACCTGGATCGAACTACCAGTGTTCGGCGACTTTACCGCTCGGCCGCTGGTGGGCCTGCTTTAGAAGGATATCTTTGTGAAGGACCTTCTCAGGGAAACTGGTTCACATTCTTGTTACACATGAATAAAATCATAAAAAACTACACAGTTAATTCTAAAAGGAGTGGCAGTACTTCTGTTTATTTAAAACTTTGTTTTACAAATGGGCCACACATTTTACGCTTACTGTAAAATATATATTTACTTAAAAAATGGTACCCTGATATAAAAGTGGAATCCTAGAGATTTTGTCTACATACTGCTTAAAAATAAGCAGATGTAGTAGAACAGAGGGCAAAGTAATACATATGCTTTTGCTCTCTTAAATAATAAGATTAGCAGCTATTGAACTGGCAACTGTTACTATTAAACTTTGTAAAGTGCTGGTACTTTAAAAAAAAGTTTTACTACACAATTAACAAAACTTACAATCATTTTGGATGTTATAACTATTTGCTGAAAAAAATTTCTAAATTTTGTACACATTTCTTTAATAGACACTTTAATCTCATTTTAGGTTAGAGTTTCAGAATAAATGCTTTTAACAATGTAAATAAGTTAATAATAAGCATTAAATGGCAGCAAAATACATATCTCATTCAAGAATTAAGCAAATCCATTATTAATATCATCAACTTAATGTTCACAGTTTATTGAATTGTGATAGGAAATATATATATATATATATAATGTTGCATATATATTTACAAAGATAGAGTGATTCTTGTTTCCCCTCTAAAATCAGCACTTATTTTTCCATAATACTCTGCCATGAATCAAAAAAAAAAAAAAAAAAAGGGGGGGGGTTAATCAACTAAACTTCATTGTCATTTTCAATTTAGATCAATTTTTTTCAAATGTATAACATCTTTCCCCATGACTATTGAAGAACTGGAAATTTAAAGCATAGTTCTCTTCAGTTAACAGGAGAGAAAAGTGTTTAAGTTCAGAACTTTTGAATACCTAAATTTCAGTCCTACAGTATCTTCTTCATATAATCCATCATATGTATGTTCACGATTGTTCCTATCTGCCTTTATTTTCAATAGTCTACAGTATCATTAAAAATTGAAACAGATGATAAATTGAGGTTTTGAGATTAAATTTCATTCTCTGATAATATATTGCTAATATCTCAAGAAGATAGAATATATCACTTTCAGGGCACTTTTCTGATACTGACAATTAAGATATAAATTACAAGTCTGTATGTGCACTGCAGAGAAATACCCTGAAGCTATGTGTACTATTACATCATTTTTTTAACTCTCTATTAATAAAAAAAAGATGAATTAGAAATTATATTTTTTCTTTCTTTTTATTATAGTTAAATGATTCTGGAACAAAAAAAAAAAAAAAAAAAAAATGTATGACAGCTATGTGAAATTAGAAATCAGCATCAGAATATATTTTTGAAAACTGAACATGTAATGTCCATTGTAAAATTCTTCTGATGCATAACTTGCATATGTAAGACATTAGTGAAGGTAAAATGCTAGAATTGACTTCTTGTGTGTCCAATCTCTTGTGGCTATAACATATTTTCATCATAATTAATTTTTTTATGAAATGACTAGATGCATAAGAAATATCTAAATATGTAAATTTTAATATTGTAACAACTTGTGTATCTAATATGAAATGTGCTCTTTTACTTATGTTTTGCTATTTTCATTTGTTATGAAGAGCTTAGTACACAGTGTAATGTTTGAAAGATATTGTTGTTTTATATATAATATAGAGTTGAATTTTATGTCTTATTTCTGTGGTGTAAAATAATAAATATAAATGCCAGCTTTTCTTAAGACTTTTTTTAATAGAAAAGAATTTACAAAATAATTTTCTAATAATTAGAAAAACACAGGTTTTTAATAAAACTATTCTTAGAAAACAATATAATTCTATACAAAATATCTTTACTAAAATAAAATTATGGCACAAATACAGTATATGTAATAGTCATTCTTCCACGCAAAACTGAAGACCATATATAGTACAAAATTACAGCTCTCATTGATATGAAATTTTAGCTCAGATACAGCCTAAGCTAGTATTGGTAAAAATTTGAATTAAAATTGTTGAACACATATTGTTACTATCAGTCAACATATTTTTATTACAGTGGTTTCATACAAATATGCAAAATTAAAATTTTTGCCAGATAGTAAGAACAATTAGTCAAAACATATCTTGAATTGCTTAAGAAGTAAAATGCAGGGCTGATTAAACAAGGAGAAAATGCAGATGATGTCATTACATTTATCAGCAGCCTAAAAACTATATAGAGCATATCCTCATATTACAAAATATCCATTTTAAAGGCTATGTCAAAATGTGCTTTTGAAGAAAACTTGTGTTATGCATATCTTCCAATTACTTTCCTTATTTTTTTAATAATATACCTCAAAGCATGATTTCATCTTGAGTACTTCTCTTAGGATGACTTACTTTTATTAATTTTTACTCCCAATAAAAATTACTATGCAAAATTACGAGAATTTTAACCTATGTAAAATCAAACTTCATAGTCATCACACAAGTCATGGCTATAATTTCCAATTACGAAATTAAAGTTTTACTATTAATTGAAGTAGAATATATTGCACTAAACAGAATATTTAATGAGAGACAGAAGTTACTTTTTCTTTTCAAATTTTAAATCAAATATAACTTATTAAATATAAAACTAATGAATAAATTAAGTATTCAGAATTTAATTCTATACTCATACTGTAATTGGCATATGACAGTTAAAAATGTCGTACTACCTTTTAAATCACACAAACAAACCATATTCTTTCCATGATGCTCTTTTTAACATTAAAAGAAGCATTAGAAAAATACATTTAAAGAAAAGAAGCACCTGGAATATACACACATTAAATTATATATCGTTACATATATTTACATTCTGTTTTGAGTATCAACTTACTATTTTTTGGACAAGTGCAAGAAATGCAGGAATGTGGAAGAAATGAAATACATTAGACAAAATAAGTTTACATTATAGGCTATCCAAACAGTAGCTATGCGTATATTTTTGTGTGATATGCAAATTATTCTAATTTTTACATATGCACTTTCTTTTATGAAAAGAAATTAAAATATTCGCAGTATAATTTTATTTAAATGTTCAACTATATGATTACTGTTTAAGAATTCTACTTGTTAATCCACTTTGACCAACCCAAAAAAATGAGTCACAGGAAAGTCACACGTTAAATATTTTTTAACTCCTTTTATACACGAATTTGAAGAATCTTTAAGATATCAAACATCAAAGGAAAATCGAAATGAAAACATGAAATGGGCACATAGTATGAAAAATATCAATGTTTGAAAAGCACTGAAGGTTTAACAAATGCTCATAAAAAATATTTGGCCATCAATGATCAACTGACAGTTGAAGAATTAGCCATAAAAATTGTAGAAAATTATTTTATAGCAACATATTGCTGGCTTAACTGATGGAAGAAAAGAGAAAAAAATTACCTACAGATACAATCAATGCGAAGAAAAAGACGCTGATTTACTTCCTGCAAGAAAATGAATGGCCTAAATTGTCTATAAAGTACTGACCTGAAAACATTTATAATGCTGAAAAAACAATTCTGTATCATCATGAATTGCCTCAACATATTTATTTGAGACCGAAAGTCTGAAAGGATGCAATATCCACAGATCATGTGACCATTTTATGCTGAAACAAAATGTGTGGGAAGAAAGAAAATTATTAGTAAATGGAAAGAGAAAAAAATTCTGAATGCCTTAAAGGAGTTTACCAGTAGGTTATATAATTCAAAGGCATGAATGATATCTGTAATTTTAGTAAATGGCATTTTTACATGGGATGATGAACTGTAGAATGATACCTTTCCTCTTAAACATATTGAAGCTGTGTATTTAGCAGCAAATAAAACAACCATAATTCTGCCATGCTATGAAAGAACATCATTACCCTGAAATGTTTCAAACTTTTATAGCATAGACAGATACAGACACAAGTGTAAATGAATTGAGAAAGAAAAAGAGCCTTCTTGATGCTCTGAATTTGTTTAACATGTCTTGAAACTGCATCTAAGAAATGCCTTACAAGTATTAATATTAGAGGAATAGCATCAATCAAAAATTTCCAGAACCATTATGTGGGATATCATTTTCCACAGCCATCAGATGAGGCTGCAAGCCGTCCACCAGAACTCTAGTTTTTGTCGAAAAACCCAGACAAGGCGGCATGACAAAAGAAGAGATGTACACGTTAAAAAGATGAAAGGACTTTTTCTATTTTTCTTTACTGTGACAGTTTTCTTGTAAATATTTGTGTTCCTGTCATCCATTTTCATAGTGTGTAGAAATTGTTACTGGTAGTGACCATAGCGATGGGCCCAGGTTCGAATTCCAGAGAAGGCATGGTTGTAACTGTCTGTCCCTTCATAGCAGGCAATCGTAGCCACTTATTAGGTACTTCAATAATGAAATGGCCACCACTTCCAGCCCTTGGTAGTGGCACAAGGCTAATGGCTATTAAATAAAGTGCCCAGCGATTAAAAAAAAAAAAAAATGTTACTGTGTTCAATAAATATTCAAATCTCTTCTATCAGTTGGACTAGTTTAGTATTAGACCTTAGACATGAAGTTCTGCCGTCATTTTTGAAGTAAGGATCAAGCTAATAATTATGAATATGAACAATTTATAAATAAACTTCTGTCTTGTGGTTGTAGACAATGAATCATTAATGACGTTTCTCTAATTAAAATGGCGTGAAAGAAAGAATTTATGTTTCTCATTATATTTATATTAAATTAGTTAAATTCCATTGCTATTTTGAAGAATATTTTTCCAATCCCCTTAATGTTATCATTTGGTTAATGTTAACAAAATAGTCATGGACAAATGTGATGACATTTAAGCAGCATCTATTGTTAGCACACATGGCTGTTAGCATACTTTCTCCAGAAGAAATGTATGCTGTGACATAATTCAGAAATGTATAGTTTCTATTGTAATGTAAACAGATTTATAAAAACTAGCCTGTCCTTCTAAGAAGACCGTAATGGTTAAGATTGAAGGCGAAGCACTTGACCAACGGATGCCTTAGAAAGAAGCGCTTGATTAAGGAACACAGACGCCTGAAAATGAAACTCTTGATAAAGAAATGCAGATGCCTGTAAAAGAACCTCTGAGAGAAACATCTGAGGAAACACAGAAGCCTGAGTAAGAAACAAATCCATTGGCTCCCACTTGTTTCTTAAAAATTGTTCACAGCAGAGAAACAACTGATTTAGATGAAATCGACAGTAAAAGCCTGAACGTAAGATTGGGCTTTGTATAAAAATTAAGGTACGGTCTAAGAATGAGATATCGGAATGAGTATTTAGTGATGTTGACTCCTAAAGGTTTACCAAATCGGAATTGTCTCTGCAAAGGAAGGGACGTTTGCCAGGCATTGAACAAACTCGAATGACGCACTTGGTCGGAATGTTAAAATCTAGTCATCTCCAACGTCCTCCATTACAAACTGAACATCCTTGCGATGAGCCCAAAAGGTGAAAAGTCTTTAGTGACAGAATCCTTGGAAAAAGAATCAATGCGTAGGACAGCTAGACTTTCTGGAAAAGAAAGTTAGGGATCCAGAAAATTGAAATGGAAATTCATAAATAAACTCAAGAGTTTTGCATCTTTTATAGAATCAGGAATGTGGTAACGGAAAGTAAAGGGTAATCTTTATTACCCTGTACTTTAACTTTAGTAACTTATGTTTCCGTGAACCATTTTTAAATTCGTTATTGTCCTTTTAAAGAAAATTAGATACTGTCTTTTAATATGTCTCAAACAACATTTTTCTAGCTATGCTCACGACAGCTTGAGCTTATCAAAGCAGTGTATTGAAATTGAAAATGTGGGTATATATCAGACACCCAGATTTCAATACTTACTTCGACTGATCAGGAAACGGCTGATGCACAACCAGCACCCGCAGAAGGAAGGTCAAAAGGTAATTAGTTTAACCTAAATTTAAGCAGTGCTTTCATCTGAACAAAGAAACAAATTTGGGTGGAAGATACAAAAATGATAGCTTTAATTTTCAAACGTACGACTCATCAATTCAAGGAACCGCATTTCAAAATGAGTTATTACCTAAGACTGGTAGCAGTCATTTAAGACACGCAAGAAGTGATTGGAACGCTAGAAGCGAAGACCTTTATGAAAATCACTCTGTAGTAATCCATTATTTCAAATCTAGTGATTATGGTAATTCTAACTTGCGAATTGCTCATCAATCAGAGAGGTAGCGAATTTTTATCCAACAGATGCAGTATGCCAAGCTCCTTTGTAATTGTCAATTGCTGCGCAGCAAGTAAAAAGAATATGTTTTAGAAATGACTGCGTTAATGTGCTGCGGGGGCGCTATGGAAAAAAATATTTTTATACAGATGTTCTTTACTCTCTAATCGAAGCACTAGGTTAGTGCACGATCTCTCTTCTACAAACTTTCAAATCGTGGATCACCACAGAGAGTATAGTTCGAAGTGAATTATTACCTGAAGCTCATGGCAACAATAAGGTGACAGACCCAGCTAAGCAGGAGATAAATGGAACCAAGCCAAAAAAGTCTTATGCAGATGTAGTCACCTTTAAAAAATAATAAAATGTCCATGCATCATATAAAACATTTCACCTGATACAGTGGCAAAGGCATTTTACACTGTTTCGATTTCTCTATTTGGTCTTGATGCAGTTGCGTATCTAACACTTGGATGTGATTGGTACCTTTTTAGACACTGCAATTCTATTCTA